GAGAGAGAGAGAGAGAGAGAGAGAGAGAGATAGAGAGAGCAATGAGACATTGAGAGAGAGAGAAAAGGAAGAAAAGAGAAGTTGAGAGAGAAGCAAATCGCATGAGGAAATCAGGTCATGAATAAACGAACTCCCTGACACACAGACATCGTCAAATGGATTTACTACACGGAATGCGAACACCAATCTCTAAGTAAAATTAAAAAACACCAAAGAAAAAGAAGTGAACAAACATTGGAAAGTTAATACAATTCTGTTGGAACATTTTAACATTGATTTTAAAAAAGATCCCCCCCCCCAACAAAAACAACAACCAAAAACTGAATAAAAGACAATTTTAAAAGTAACCCAAATGTCGAAATAAAATTCTGTCAAACAAGTTAACGCATGCGTGACATAAAAACTGACTCATAAATCTAGGGTAAAAAAAAAAAAGAAGTAAATTCAGTGCTGGAAGAGTTAATAAAGTGGGTGACCCTCCACCCCAGAGAAGAAACAGGGGGGAAATAGAACAAGAGAAGATGGAACCACGGTTCTTAAAGTCCACACACACATCACCATCATTGAATCATCTCATACTCCGACTTTCAAAACCCCTTTTCGTTACAGTTTTAGCAGAGAGTTTCAAACCCTCTCTGGTTTTAGTAGAGGTTTTACGGCACTAGCAACTGCATAAGGTCATATGAGCGCCAGAAGATTAGAGGTGTTACAAGAGAGTAACAAACATGAAAAAGAAGAAGGGGAGATAAGGACGATAGATGTTTGAAAGGAAAGAAAAAGCAAACCATACCAGAGCACCCTCCAACCACCCACTTCCAAAACCCCATTCCTTCACCAGCTAATTAAAACGTTAAAAAGTATCCATGACCAAAGACGACAAAAGTAGATTTAATAAACATCAAAGAAAAAAACCCCCCAAAACATCTGCGTACGTATCAGGATAAATAAAGTCTTAGACATGGAGAATAAATAGAGACAAACACACACACACACACACACACACACACACACACACACACAGAGACAATCTGCTACCGAGCTCTTCTGTCCATCTTTGTTCATCCTTCTTTTCTAATACACATGAAAGTCTATCAGACCGGGTAATCATCTCTGAATATTTCACATCTGTACCCAAACCAGGCAACTAGAGACGTACACACTTACGTACAGACATGTGAACACACACAAGTATAGAAATATACCCACAGATATGAACACACATATGCACAGATATGAACACACATGTGCACAGATATGAACACACATGTGCACAGATATGAACACACATGTGCACAGATATGAACACACATATGCACAGATATGAACACACATGTGCACAGATATGAACAAACATATGCACAGATATGAACACACCTATGCACAGATATGAACACATATATGCACAGATATGAACACACATATGCACAGATATGTACACACATGTGCACAGATATGAACATATAGAGCTATATATATGAAAGATAAGAAAAGAAAAGAATACAATGAAGTGATAAACAAAAAATGAAACAACATAAATAACGTTCTAAAAGATGTGATTTAAGACCAATAAAAAGACAGGGATAAAATTCAAAATTCAAAATCCAACACAACGAATCTCATTGGCCACAATGGCAGACAGTGCTGACATCCAATATCATAGTTATAACGCCACAATCCGGATAAATACACCACATGACGTCACAAAAGACACGCCCACATCTGAAGCTGAGTTTCTCTGTGGACTGACTGGCTTCGGGAAAAAGACCCACACAAAGTTACAGAACATCTGATGGTCACATTACATAAACGTACAGTGAACGGTTAGTCTGTCATATTACATGTTCTATGTATGGTCAGTCTGTCATATTACATATTCTATGTACTGTGGTCAGTCTGTCATATTACATGTTCTATGTATGGTCAGTCTGTCATATTACATGTTCTATGTATGGTCAGTCTGTCATATGACATGTTCTATGTATGGTCAGTCTATCATATTACATGTTCTACTGGTCAGGTAATGTCCCTTTCCTTCACTGGGAGTTTAACGGCACTTGCAACACATTTAGGTCAAATAAGTGCCGAAGATTAGAGGTGTTACTAGAGAGTAACATATAAAGGAAAAAAGGAGGAGAGATCAGGACGACAGATGTTTGAGAGGAACGAAGGAGCAAACCACACACAGAGCACCCACCGACCACCCACTCCAATCACTCCTCCATCTCTGCGTACTCCAACGCCCCCAAAGCATCACGTACCTAATTATCATTTTCTATGAAGCTCAAAATGCAACATAACACATGCTTTCATTTATTAGCCTTCCCCCCGAAAAACAAACAAACAAACAACAAAAAAAGAAAAAAGAAAACAAAAAGAAAAAAGAGAAAAAAAAAAACGAGAAATTGTCACAAACAAACAAACAGCAAAAACCAAAATTAATAAAATTAAGATCTCCGCCCCTCCTGTCACCGTCCCAGTTCTGTGGCCGTCAGCTGATCATTCTGTCCCGCCGTCCTCCGTGACCTTCCGTGACCTTACCGGCCGCCGCCGCCTTGAGCCTGCTGGTCAGCTGATGACATGATGACCATCATGATGACCACTGGGACGATGTACATCCACTGGGGGGAGAGAGAGAGAAAACATGTGTTAGTTCATAACACTGGGAAAGAGAGAGAGAGAGAGAGAGAGAGAGAGAGAGAGAGAGAGAGAGAGAGAGA